TGAAAAAATGTATTATGAAGATATGGCTTCTGATTCATATAATGAAAGTGGATTAATGTGCACATTATTTTATCCTACAGTGGAACTGTTTAAAGCACAATTCACATGTTTATTGAATTATCAAAAAAGACTAATATTGATGAGCATGAACAAATCTATTCTTTCAGTAATACATTAGTATAAAATGGAAATAGATCCTTCCACAATTTGGAGAGAAATTGATCAAGATCAGATAAAGGAAAATTCTTGAGAAGCCTCGGTGCCTAATTTACAACAGCTGAATCATACCTGTCCAAAGGGTAAGTCTCCAACTTAATCCATCTGGGGTTCAATCCAAATCTATGCGTCAAATATTGAAACTTTATACAGTTAACAAAAATGTCCATTAAATTTTCTACATTTATACATTACTACAACCATACTGATATCATTGATATGAGGTAAACAACAACTGATTACGTAGAATCTATTTAGTACTAATGAGCTATGACTTGATGACATTTGACTGTTCTCTCAGTTGTATCCTTAACCTCTCTGCATGGCTCCAGCGCTCTACATGAAGATGAGACTCTCCGAGCTGATTTAAACATACAGGAGAGCGTGAATGAGTACTGCTAAGACATATATCTTGCTGAGTATGTGAGCAAAAAGCTCTCATGGTTATGTTCTTATTATAGTGTGTTTTACAATGAGTAAAAATCACTGGAGCTTTTCCATAATCAAAACACAAAGCACCAATTGATCTGTATGGAAAAAAAGAAAGAAAAAAAAAAAAAACTTCCTGCATTTTTACCCCATGATTTGGCCATATGAATCATTACATGTATAATACACACATAAAGAGAAGGAAAAATAAAGAGAATTAAGAAAATGCTGAGCTTTGGTTCTGCAAGTGATAGTCACTGAATAAAACTGATGCATCTTAAATACTGCAATGCACCAAAAGTGCCTTTCGCTCAAATTATGGCAGTGATGTAAATACTAAACAGAAAAACAAGGTTATTCTGACTATGTTATCATTAAGACTACACTTTAAATATACCGGTACATATGACTAATTTCTGTTAAAATCTGAATGCAAATGATTACTTCCATCAAAGCCCAAGATTAAATCAAAATTGCCTTTTAACAGAAATCGACTTGCATTTACCAGTAATAACAGAAACTTTGACAAGAAAATACCTTTAGATTAAAACTGAACAACCAATCTATCAAAACATCAATGAAACTGAAACATATCTCATACATAGAAAAGTATAAAATGCAAGTGTAATGAACGAATAATCGTAACAGATAGAAAAGCATTACAAAATAATGTCATCTTTGGTGGGAAATGCTATACAGGGTTGGGTGTTAAAAGAGGAAGGGAGATCAATTTTGACCAATTTCAAATTCTTAAAAAAATCTGTAAACACAGTCGACTAAATGAAAGCACTAGAATAAGATCTGGTGAGGATAGCATCTGTAACCTATGTAGAATTTCCAAGATCCATTTTGAAACAAACACTTTAAGTTATGGGAAGTAGAAATAATGAACAAAAGAATGCTTGTATAAAAAAGAAAGAAAGAAAAAAGGAAAATGTCTTAATAAACCTTTTTCTTTGTGGTACTGGGAATACATATTTCATTAGCTCTCATTTAAAGCAATGATATAAAATAACTGAACACACAAGGAGTATATTTACTATCACATAATATCTCCTACTCTATAAATTAAGAAAGCAAAACATGCAACCATGTTTAATTTACAACTATGTGTATGTATAAAAAAGAAAACACAATTGGAAAACAATAAAGACATATTTGGCCAAGACAGATCATCGGCATATCGCAATAAATCATGCGATGCAGTTGGTTTCAAGAAGCATGGAAATCTTAGGGAAATACCTTGAAAAAAAGAGGTAAAAATATCCCACAGAAACAAGCAATATTTCTCATAAGCTTTTCTCTTCTTCTTTTTTTTTTTATCACATACGCCAATATTTCAAAATATTAATTGTATTCTTATGGGTATTCTGTCACTGTTGTTCTTGCTGTTTTTTTTGTTTTTTTAAACATGTAAAGAGATTTGAGGTGAACTATAGCAGCAAGAAGTTCAAAATCTTTTTTTCATGAGTTCTTAAGTTGGATACACCAGCTTAGGATAACTTTAGTGGAGATGTAATCATATAAGCAAACCTTGCTTGTAAGAAAAAATGCAAATGTCATCTAATCTTTGTCTAAATGGTCAAAAACTTATAGTACTGGCTTATCAACCCCTATACTTTTAATAGGAGAAAAAACTATGCTAAAATCTTTGACCATGCTAAACCATTTGCAGCTTTTAGTAAAATCTTGTGTGGAAAAAATAAGACCTTTTTGTACAGCATTACACTACTTGGACAAATATTCTCATATTGAAGGCCCTTGTCACTGAATAGCTACAGCATTTCATGGAACAGAATCCTCCACTGAAACTCTACAATATTCATTATTAGAAAATGGTCTGTTCTTGCTGTTGTCCAAAATTGGAGAATATTCTGGCAATGTGTTTGAGGGGAAAAATAAGAAGTATCCCTACACTGACAGTGAAGCGAATTCTTGCAAATAATAACAAGAAAAATCCAAGGAGACTGGAATTCACAAAACAAGAAATCACAAAGTATCATTTTTGAAGCCACTGCTCAATAAAAAGAGGAATACGTAGAAAGATAGAGATATAAAAAAACAGAAAAAAGACAGATAAATTATATATACTGCTTATGAAACACTTATGAAAGACTCTCAACATAAATGTGTTATCAATATAAATAAGATGGCAAAAACCAAATCATGTCACTAGTTAAAACATCAATAGAATGAGTAAAATATCAATACTAGTTACTGAGATACAGCTATTGTCAGTATTTAGATACATAATACAAAAAAAAGAGAGAAAAATTACTGCAGACACAAATGTTTAAAGCCTTGGATAATGCCGTTTATAAAAAGGGTAGCCAAATAATATAACAACATTCCTATAAAAGACTACAATCTTACAGAAAGACATGCGGCAGACTTGTGCTGTGCTTATTCGTCCACTCTTTGCCATTGAGCTTTTTGTATGGGAGTCATTTCTAGCTAATGCTTGAGCCATTTCTTTCCACTGGATGATAATTAAAAAAAGAAAAAAAAAAAAAAGAAACAAAATACAAAAGTATTGGAAAGAAATATATGTTTTCTCGAGAGATAATGCACTATTATTCTCTCTTTCTTATTCTTTCCTCTGGAATGATTGGCAATTCTCTTTTATTTCTCTCTCTCTTTCTTCCTCCTCCTCTCACTGGTTGACTATTTTCATTACACAGAATCCAATATTACTGCCACATCATCACATCACTTAGCAGCAGAAATGGCAACCACAATGTGAGAGTCTGATGGTTTACCTCCCCCCAAAATTGTCTTTTTTTCATATATCCTCTTGTAAAAAGAAAAAGGAAAAAAAAAGGGAAAAATGTATCAGTTGCTCACTGGTCATCATTGCCTCTCATGTTTTTTGAGCTTTGGTGAGCTCTGTCATCATTAGAAAGGGTTGTTTGTATCTATAACTCCTTGAAATTAATCTTTGTCTTCACTGGAGTTCAAAAGCAAAATGATATTCATTTCACTGAGCTTGAAAAAAAGTGTCAAAACTATCCCAGAACATAAAAATGATGGGATTTTCTTTTTCTAACTTGCATACCCTCCAGTAAAATGTCTGCATTGAAAGACTCAAAGCTATAGTCAAGTCACATAACAAAGGGGGTACACTTATGATGCTTGCAAACTACAGCAAAGCTCTGCTCTTGCAGGCAGGTGAATACAACACTAGTCTGGTAACTCTGGAGTATACACATACATCCATACACTCACACAATCACACTTTCTATATACTGTATTATCACAATGATAGTTTAGAACTATACCATTGTTTCTCAGTCTGTTTTCTTTTCTTTTCTTTTTTCTTTTATAAGGGAACTAGTTGTAATGTATATAGAAAGCACTCCCATCTTGGTTCTCTATGGAGCAATATATATATATATCTCTTGGAGTCATTGACGCATGACCTCTGTCTTGTTGTCCTTGTTCTTTATGTTGACTGGTACAAGTCCCAACATTCCCAATGCACGTCCTTTTTTGGTCACTCGCTGTGCTAGTGCATTGTGACGCGGGTCATTCTCGGAGGTTCAGGTGGAGTGGGGGGCGGCTGGGACCCCCCTGTTTCATCCTCGCTCTCGGTGAGGGGTGCTAGCTGAGTGTGCTCCGGGGGTAACATGGTGGTGTGCGTTGAGTCTGATTGGAGGGTTCCGTTGTCCCCTGTAGGGTAAGCCTTCCGCTGGAGACTCTGAATGTATTCCTGTTGGAGAGAAAGATTGCCAAATCTTATATGCTGTCTTTGTTTCCTATTCACATGGGGGATGTTGAGGAGAAGAAAAAGGTAGAAGGAAACAAATAAAGATAGAAAATAATGAACGTTCATCCCTGTCAAGCATCTCTTTATAGATTCTGCTTTTGCTCAATGGTTCAAAAAAAATAAAAAAATAAAAAAAATAAATACAGAGGAAAATTCTTTACTTTATCTGATACCAACGATTGCACAAACTGTCATAAATATGCTTAGCAAGATAATTCATGAACCATTTATCAACAGATACTAATTGCCAAATATATGACTGTACATAAAAAATCTAAAGTGGAGTTTCTATTACCATTTCTCTACTTATATAGCACATTACATCACGTCTCAGTAAATCTGTCTAACCAGAAGATTATCAAAGAATTGCTTCAATTGTGCGAAGATATTAACAAACCCAATGATCAACTAACAAAGAGGGAAAAAGTAATTACTATTACAACCTTACCTTTTATAACCTTTTTTCTTTTTTTTTTTCTTTTTTTTTTTTTCTTTTTTTTTTTTTTTTTTTACTCCATATCAATGTTTGGAAAGTTTGACCTCTGCTTTTGGAAATCTTTAAAAACACACCAACAGGACTAGTTGAACC